ATTTATCCAACATTTTTGGTTTTCCCTCTTTATGTTACCTTCTTTTGCTGTCTTCCCCCAGCCCTTCCTTTTCTCTACTGTAAACACTTCCTTAAATCTCCTGTTTATCCTCCCCAATACCTCCTGATCCCTTTTTTTGTGATTTTTTTTCCCCCCTTTTGTCCCTAACTTAAAATGGTCTTTTGCTGTCTTTTCCCCCTGATGTGGCTAACAACAGTTTCGGGGCAGTCTTTATTTTCGATGCTATGTCATTTTATACTGTCGGGGGCCTCCCTCCTTTTCCTGTGCATTTCGTTCCTGGCTCTTTTGACTGATCTTCCCCTTTTTCCCTGTGTTCTCTCCTTTCTGTATTTTTTCCCTTCTCTATTGCACTTTTTTTTGCCCCCTTACACCCCCCGGGTAAACCCAAAGGGGGTCGTTTGGTTCCCTTTCCCCTTTTTTTCTTTGCCCTTGGGAATAAACCTTTCCACTGCCTCCCTTTCATTTTGTTGTTACATATTCCATCATTTCCCTTTACTGGATTTTCCCGCCAGTTCCTGTCCCCCGGGACCCCCCGCAGGAAGTTCCTCAAACCCCATGAGTCCCCTTTTTTTATTCAGGGTTTTCCCCCTTTAACCCTGTACTCTCCCAAATTTTCCCGCTCTACTATTATTCAAAGCACAGAACCACGTGGTCGCTAGCTCCTAGGGGACTCTAAAATGTGATGTTTTTCAATGTCTGAAATGCCCAGGGGGAAAACAAGGTCCAAACTTGCTGGTTCATCCTCCCCTCCCTTTGGTTTTGTTTCCCTTAACCCTGTTTGGGGCAAAGAGGTTTTTTTTCCCGCACCAGCCAACATCCTGGCTCTCCGGGTTTTGGGGTCCCCCAGGGGGCTCCAGGTTTTCCCAGTCAATCTCCCTGTGGTTTAAATCCCCCATAACCAGAAATTTGCCCCTGCTGGATTTAGCTTTTTTTGCCACCTCTCAAGTGATCCACCATTGCTCTGTTGCTTCTTCATAAATTTTCCCCCTTGGGCCCCCTGCTTTCTGTGGTGGGGTTATAATCACTGCATTGACCCCCCTTTTGTTCCCCAGGGCAAAATGTACCTCTATGTAGTCTCTTTCCCCCCCCTCATCTATTTCCTTTCCCCTTTTTTCGAATTTTCCCTCTTTTTTTTCGGCAGAGCAACCCCAATCCCCCCCTGCCCCCTTTTTCTTTCCTCCTTGATCTGGTATCCCGGTGGGGGAAAATTGCATCTGTTTTTAAAGTCTCCGTGAAAATTTTTTTCTGTAACTGCTATGGGTGTCTGGGGACTTCTCATTGGGGGGTTTTTTTTCTTGCCATTCCATGTTTATTCTTTTTCCTCTCATTTGTTACCAAACCCTTCAACTTCTGTTCTAATACTGTAAAATGTGGTGCGGGGGGGGGGAAAAGAGGGATCGGTGTTTGATGGGTTTTGGGTTTGGGGTTTTTCAGTTTTCCCCTTGGGGGGGTCGTGGCTGGGGTCCTTCCCTTATGTGTTTCTGGGGGGGGGGGTGTGCTTGTTTCCCCCTTGTTCCGGGGTTATTCTGCTCTCCTTGGGGTGTGTGTGTGTTTTGTGTGTGTGTGTGGTGTGTGTGTGTGTTGTGGGGTGGGGTTTTGGGGTGTGTGTTGTTGTGTGTGTGTGTTGTGTGTGTGTGTAGCGTGTGTGTGGTGTGTTTTGTATGTGTGTTTTTGTGTTTTGGTTTTTTGTGTGTGTGTGGTTTGTGTGTTGTGTTGTTTGTGTTTGGTACTTCAGGCTTCACATGCAGTTTCCCTTTTCCCTTTCAGGTCTAGTCACCAAACATGATATTTATTTTATCACTTAAAACCCTTTAACAAGTCGTTCCCCTATAACTTAAAGCTGCCATCACCAGCATATTACTCTTTTTCCTTTCCCGAAAAACACATTTACAAATAATTTTACGAAGCCGGCCCTTACCCCATAGGGAAATTGGAAACAAAAAAAAGGGTTTCCTGGGGGGCTTGTCGAAATGGGGTGGGTCGCAAACCCGGGACAAAACTGACCCAATTTGCCCCAAATGGGCCGCATAACAATCGGGTTTCTATATAGCATATGTCCCCTGAAAGTCAGCTTTGTCCTGTATAAACCTTTTACATGTACTTGTACAATAAAGATATTATTTTTTATATAATCCATTTCCCCCCACCTTGGGGGGTTTGGGGGTTAAAGCTTCCCCTTACACGGTGAGGGTCTGGGTCCCATTTCCCAGAGAAAATTTTTAAACAATTTTTGGGCGTGTTTCTTTGCACCCGTTGTTATGTTTTTCCCCTCAGCAAAAAAAGGGAAACCCGGGTGTTAGTCGATGTTTTGTTTCGCATCCTGGGGCACTGACCTAAGGGGGCCCGGTCACAGACCCGGGGCCCCGGGGGCGTTGACCCCCGGAACTCTCTTTCCCGAAAAAATCCAGAAAACACCAAGGGGTGGAATGGCCATCCAATAGTACAACACCCCACCCTCCATCGGGGGCCAACGGCGGACAGTGGAGTAATTCCCCATGTCAGTACAGTGTTTTCCCAAAAGTTCTCCGTTCTTCTCTTACTGGACTGGGAAATCACTGGGTGGTGAAACGTTTTTCCCCAGTAAAGATTCCAAAATTTTGCATACTAAGTATTTAAATTTTTTTTTTTGTAGGTTTTTTAATTCCCTTTTTTTCACAGTGTTTCCCTTTTCAAATGTAAAAAAATGAAACTCCCCCAAGGAAAAACGTTCCTTTATGACTTAAAATTTCAGAATTAATTTTGGGAAAAACTACTTCATTTAGGGTCAGTCAGTACGTTTTCTATGTTCCACTGGGGGTCCTCACTTTGGTTTTTCACAACAAAATATAAAAAGTATTTTTTGGGGGGTTTTTTTAAAAAGGGGGGTTTGCCACCCCTGATACCCAATTTTTAAAACGTGAATCATTGGGGGCTGTTTTTTGTATTTCCAGTGGGGGGCCTCACTTGTCTCCTTGCAGCGACTTACAGGAAACCCATTTCTGATAGGTGAACAGGGGGAAGGGAAAAATGTCCCGTGTACTTCCCTGCCGGGGGCCCATTTTGGATCCTCAGCGTGTGATGAGAATGGTACCAAAATAAAAATTTTCCCCCCGGGTAGTTGATTTTTGGGGTTTTATCACCCGAACTAAATTGAACTAAACCAAAACTCTAAGACACAGATTCGTGACTCCACTGGCGTAACAGCTCCAAAAAAATATTTTTTTTTAGATCAAAGAAAATATGGGAAAAAATTTTATTCTAAATTATTTTAAAAAGGATTTTAAAACGAATCCCCGAACACTTGTGTGTGTGTGGTGTTTTGGGGGACATCTTCTGGAAATCCTGTTTTCTTCTTTCCCCCTCATTTTACCTTGGGTGAGGTGATGCAGGCACAAAATTTAACCCCTTGCCCCTACTTTCCTTCCCTCATTGAACCCCCTTTCCCTTTCCCCCCCTCCTCCCCCCCTCCCCCCCCCCCCTCTCACCCCCTAAGCTTGTCAATTTTTTTTTTTTTTTCTCTTCGACTGTCAAGTTTTTTTTTTTTCCCCAAAAATTTTTTTGTTTTGAGCAAAAGTTCAGTAAATTTTTGACAAAAATTGTTAGCAAGAAATTTTTGTGTTAGAATCTTAGTCAACTGTCCCAAAATCATGGTGAAATAAGTCCCAAAAGCCCAAATTTTATGAATAACGAACTACGTTTCAAGAAATGCCTCTTAGAGAAAAATTTAAAATCATCATATTTTTTACAGTAAGTTTGAACCCTCAGGAAAATTTTAAATAAAAATTTAAAATCCATCCTAGTAGTTTTTTTTGAGGTGAAAAATTATATTATGTATCACCTGTATTAAGTGAGGTGCAAAACAAAGTTTTTATAATCCAAAAATTTTTAAACCCCCTATTTTTGTTTTCCCCAGTGTCAAAAATTTTTTATTAAAATTTCCCGAGCGGAATAATTTAATATTGGATGTGAAAAGGTGGGAACCCCTTTTTAAAAAATTTTTGCCCCAAAAAAAGTAAATTTTAAAAATTAAAGTTTGGGACCCAATTTTAAAAAAAAAAATTTTTTTTCCTTTTTAATAAATCCCTTTAAAGAAAGGGTTTTAGAATAAAAAATTTATTAAATCCTTTTTGCCTTTAACCTTTTTAAAAGGCCCCCTTTTTTGAAAAATGCATAAAATTTGGAAAAATTTAAAGTTCGGGCCCCCACCGGGGAAATTTTGAAAATTAAAAAAAAATAAAATTTATTCAATTTTTTTTAAAATATTAAAAAAATTATCTTTAGTATTTGGGGGGCCTTCAGGGTTTTATTAAAAAAAATAAACCATATCAACGTTTTTCCCTTTTTTATTTTTAAATTTTATATTCCCAAAGGCCCGTTTTACTTTTGGGTTAAAAAGTTAAACCTTTCAAAAATCCCCCTTAAACGTAATATCATCCCTTTATAGGAAAAATCAGCCAAAAGGATAAAAAAAAATTAAAAGTGAATGGTGTTTGAACTAGGTTATTGGAAGGGAGACTTCTAATTGTATTGAGGGAGGTGCGTATTGTGTTAGAGGTGCGTATTGTGTTAAAGGGTGCGTATTGTGTTAGAGGTGCGTATTGTGTTGGGGAGGTGCGTATTGTGTTGGAGAAGTGCGTATTGCATTGGGGAGGTGCGTATTGTGTTGGAGAGGGGGTATTGTATTGGGGAGGTGCGTATTGTGTTAGAGGTGCGTATTGTGTTGGGAGGTGCGTATTGTGTTGAAGAAGTGCGTATTGCATTGGGGAGGTGCGTATTGTTTGGAGAGGGGCGTATTGTATTGGGGAGGTGCGTATATAATATATATATAATATATATAATATATAATATAATATATATATATATATAATAATATATATATATATATATATATATATAAATATATATATATATATATTTAATATATATATATATATATATATATATATATATATATATATATAATATATATATATATATATATATATACATATAATATGTGACTTCTGTGTTAAAGCGGTGCGTACTGTGAAAAGGAGGTGTATTGCAGCTGCGTATAGTGTTAGGGAGATTAGTATTGTTCTGGATGGTGCGAATAATGTTAAGGAAGGTTCGTATATATTAGATCATCGGCTGTGGAAGTGGGCATTTAAGCATACTGGGGTGGAGAAGGTTTGTAAGGTGCTGGAGGAGGGTAGGAGGGATTGTGTGCTGGGTACTGGGCTTCTCCCTCGTAGGTGACCACAGCCTCCAGACCATCGCCGTTGTCCACGTAGTTGACGGTCTGCTTGCGGCCGTCAGGGAGGTCCACTGAGTAGCTGCCCTCGGTCTTGTAGCCGTCGCGGACCTCAGAGTGACCGAAGTTAGAGCCTGAGTAGCCATCCTTAACACCGTAGTTGTAGGTGTACTGGGGAGGAACCTGTAAAATGCCAGGGAATTATTAAAATGATAATGCTCTACGTCTACTGAGAAGGAACCTGTAAAAAAAACTGAGAATTATTAATGAGCCTCTACGAAGAAGCCAATAAAATGCCTAGCAATTATTAAATAACAATTTTCTTCATACTGATGCCAGAATCAATGAAGAACAGGTTAAAATAAGGATCTCTTGATCCAAGAACAGCTACACACATTACAACCACATTATATCCTTTCAGGTAACAGTGCCCATAAGTTCTGTGAAGATATCTAAAATATATAGGCGAATCTAACTCCGCAGATAGATTCAGAAATGTTTCCTCACTTTCCACGTGATCTCTCGTATTTTTTTTAATGTTTTTTTTTCTGCAGAGGATCTGGAAGTGTTTCCATTACATTAGCTCTGTAACTAGAGCAAATTTCTATACACAATACAAACATTTATTCATTACTTAGCACGTATCAGATGAACCAGTAAAAATGTAGCAATTATCTCCGTTTAGAAGAGTGTGTCCTGTTTGTGTGTTGATCAGAGCTAGAGGAATGTATGACATGAGATACATGTGGTATTTATACTGACTCCTTGATGCGTGTGTATACTCATGAGGAATCGGCCATCTTACAAATAAGAAATCGAATATACATCATTGATCAACACGATACAGTGTCACTCAGACTCGTCCATCGCTTTACATATGTAACGGAACTAAACCGGGCACCGTAATAAGAAAGGCGTATTAGGAAAGACATGATTACGACGTATACTCCGAGAATTCAACAGAACTTCGAAGGAAGGGTCTGGAGACAAGGGAGCATTGATGGATGAACAAACACGCGCATCAATTTGAGCAGTGCGAAATATAATGTACACAAATACTTACGTCTGGATAGGTTTCGACAGGGGCATGGTAGCTTGGAGGAGGGTACTGTGCTGGGCCTGGATATGACGGAGGGAGCTCACCCAACACAACCGAAGCGCAGTAGGCGATAACAAGGACAGCTAACTGCAACGTAAAGAAAACTATACGATCAAGAAAGCGATTGCCTTAATCAACACTGCAACACAAAATGAATCAAAGGCACACAAAAAGAGTAAGTATTATTTAGCGACGTTTCCCCAGCGATGGAGGCTTTGTCAAATATTTGACGAAACTCTACAGCGGGTGGAAAGTTATTCAATAAAAGGCTTACTCTGCTTATGAGTCTCTGATTCACCATTTGTCAACTTTAGCCATTTACTACCCACTGCAACATAAACCGAACCAATGTGAAGTTTGACTGGATCGCAGCTCAGATATGTCAGGGATAACTCGAGCAGCAGATGGAACTGTAGGCAATGTTTACCTTGGGCGACATGGCTGGTTACTGGTGCTGACAGGCGGGTGGTTGCTATATTTATACTCATCACCGGCGACTTTCTATTACTGCGGGGAAATGTCCAGTTTCCACGCTTTCCTCTCAGCTCCCTCAATCCCTCCATGTCTCCTCTCTTAGAAGCGTGGGAGAGAGAAGGTGAAGTACTTGAACGTCGGTAAATTATGAGTCGCTATTCTCTTTCTCATAATACTTTTCAATTTTGGTTAACAGGGTACGCATTAGTCTCAGAGCTGGATAGGCACAGAGTTTTACTGGAAATTACTTAAGAACGTAAGTAACGAGGCAGCACTCCTTTGTGTATGTGTAATTTTATGTTGTAGTGTGTGTGTACATTTGTCACAGCGTAAGTGTAAGAGAGAGAGAGAGAGAGAGAGAGAGAGAGAGATAGAGAGAGAGAGAGAGATAGAGAGAGCGTGTGTGTGTGTACTCAACTAGTTGTCGTTGCAGGGGTCGAATCTCAGTTCCTGGCCCCGTCTCTTCACTGGCCGCTACTCGGTAGCGTGTGTGTGTGTGTATTCACCTAATTGTACTCACCTAATTGTGGATGCAGGAGTCGAGACACAGCTCCTGGCCCCGCCTCTTCACTGATCGCTACTTCACTGATGTGTGTGTGTGTGTGTGTGTGTGTGTGTGTGTGTGTGTGTGTGTACTCACCTAATTGTATTCACCTAATTGTGGTTGCAGGGGTCGAGACACAGCTCCTGACCCCGCCTCTTCACTGATCGCTACTAGGTCCTCTCTCTCTCTCTGCTTCCAGAGCTTTGTCATACCTCGTCTTAAAGCTATGCATGGTTCCTGCCTCCACTACATCACTTGCTAGGCTATTCCACTTCCTGACGACTCTATGACTAAAGAAATACTTCCTAACGTCCCTATGACTCGTCTGAGTCTTCAGCTTCCAGTTGTGACCCCTTGTTTCTGTGTCCCATCTCTGGAACAACCTGTGGGTTATGTGTGTGTGTGTGTGTGTGTGTACTCACCTAATTGTACTCACCTAATTGTGTTGCAGGGGTCGAGACTCAGCTCCTGGCCCCGCCTCTTCACTGATCGCTACTGGATCCTCTCTCTCTCTGCTTCCTGAGCTTTATCATACCTCTTCTTAAAACTATGTGTGGTTCCTGCCTTCACTACCTCACTTGCTAGGCTATTCCACTTCCTGACGACTCTATGACTGAAGAAATACTTCCTAACGTCCCTGTGACTCGTCTGAGTCTTCAGCTTCCAGTTGTGACCCCTTGTTCCTGTGTCCCCTCTCTAGAACATCCTATCTCTGTCCACCTTGTCTATTCCCCGCAGTATCTTGTATGTCGTTATCATGTCTCCCCTGACCCTTCTGTCCTCCAGTGTCGCCAGTCCGATTCCCTCAACCTTTCCTCGTACGACATTCCCTGAGCTCTGGGACTAGCCTTGTTGCAAACCTTTGCACTTTCTCTAACTTCTTGACGTGCTTGACCAGGTGTGGGTTCCAGGGCTGGTGTGCATACTCCATTATGGGCCTAACATTTCACAGTGTACAGAGTCTTGAACGAATTCCTTATTAAGGTATCGGACGCTATTCTCAGGTTTGCCAGGCCCCCGTATGCTGCAGCAGTTATTTGGTTGATGTGTGCCTCCGGTGACGTGCTCGGTGTTTTTGGGCACCCCGAGGTCTTTCTCCCTGAGTGAGGTCTGTAGTCTTTGCCCACCTAGCCTATACTCTGTCTGCGGTCTTCTTTGCCCCTCCCCAATCTTCATGACTTTGCATTTGGCAGGATTGAATTCGAGAAGCCAGTTTCTGGACCACATGTCCAGAGTGTCCAGGTCTCTTTGCAGTCCTGCCTCATCCTCATCCGATTTAATTCTTCTCATTAACTTCACATCATCTGCGAATAGGGACACTTCAGAGTCTATTCCTTCCATCATGTCGTTCGCATATATCAAAAATAGCACTGGTCCTAGAACTGACCCCTGTGGGACCCCGCTCGTCACAGGCACCCACTGTGATACCTCTTCATGTACCATGACTCGTTGCTGCCCCCCTGTCAGGTATTCCCTTATCCATTGCAGTGCCCTCCCTGTTACATGCACCTGATCCTCCAGCTTCTGCACTAATCTCTTGTGGGCAACTGTGTCAAAGGCCTTCCTGCAGTCTAGGAAAACGCAATCAACCCACCCCTCTCTCTCATGTCTTACTTCTGTTACCTTGTCATAAAACTCCAGGAGGTTTGTGATACAAGATTTGCCTTCCATGAACCCATGCTGGTTTTCATTTATAATCTTGTTCCGTTCCAGGTGTTCCACCACTCTCCTCCTGATAATCTTCTCCATGACTTTGCACACAATACATGTCAGAGACACAGGTCTGTAGTTTAGCGCCTCGTTTCTGTTTCCTTTCTTAAATATGGGGACTACATTTGCTGTCTTCCATTTCTCAGGTAGTTGCCAAGTTTCAAGGGATGTGTTGAAGATTGTGGTTAGAGGCACGCACAGCATCTCTGCTCCTTCTTTAAGGACCCATGGGGAGATGTTGTCCGGTCCCATCGCCTTTGAGGTATCAAGGTCACTTAGCAGCTTCTTCACCTCCTCCTCGGTTGTTCGTATGTCATCCAACACTTGTTGGTATATTCCCTCTTGATGTTCCCTTCTGTGCTGTCTTCCCACAGCCCTTCCTGTCTCTACTGTAAACACTTCCTTAAATCTCCTGTTTATCTCCTCACATACCTCCTGATCATTTCTTGTGAGTTCTCCCCCTTCTGTCCGTAATCTTATCACCTGGTCTTTGACTGCTGTCTTCCTCCTGATGTGGCTATACAACAGTTTCGGGTCAGTCTTGATTTTCGATGCTATGTCATTTTCATACTGTCGGTGGGCCTCCCTCCTTACCTGTGCATACTCGTTCCTGGCTCTGTGACTGATCTCCCTATTTTCGTGTGTTCTCTGCCTTCTGTACGTTTTCCATTCTCTATTGCACTTTGTTTTTGCCTCCTTACACCGTCGGGTAAACCAGGGGCTCGTTCTGGTCTTCCCGTTGTTTCTGTTGCCCTTGGGAATAAACCTTTCCACTGCCTCCTTGCATTTTGTTGTTACATATTCCATCATTTCGTTTACTGGATTTCCTGCCAGTTCTCTGTCCCACGGGACCTCCCGCAGGAAGTTCCTCAACCCTATGTAGTCCCCTCTTTTATAGTCAGGCTTTTCCCATTCAACTCCTGTTACTCTCTCCACTTGCAGCTCTACTATATATTCAAAGCACAGAACCACGTGGTCGCTAGCTCCTAGGGGACTCTCATATGTGATGTTCTCAATGTCTGAACTGCCCAGGGTGAACACAAGGTCCAATCTTGCTGGTTCATCCTCCCCTCTCACTCTGGTAGTGTCCTTAACATGTTGGTGCATGAGGTTTTCCAGCACCACGTCCAACATCCTGGCTCTCCGTGTTTCGGGATCCCCCATGTGGCTCCAGGTTTTCCCAGTCAATCTCCCTGTGGTTGAAATCCCCCATAACCAGCAACTTTGCTCTGCTGGAGTGAGCTTTTCTTGCCACCTCATCAAGTGTATCCACCATTGCTCTGTTGCTCTCTTCATATTCCTCTCTTGGCCTCCTGCAGTTCTGTGGTGGATTATACATCACTGCATTGACCACCTTGTGTTCCCCAGACTGAAGTGTACCTGCTATGTAGTCTCTTTCTCCCGTCTCATCTATGCCTTCCATTTTCTCGAATTTCCATCTGTTTTTTACGAGCAGAGCAACCCCACCTCCCCCTCTGCCCCTTCTATCTTTCCTCTTGATCTGGTATCCTGGTGGGAAGATTGCATCTGTTAATGTCTCCGTGAATTTTGTTTCTGTAACTGCTATGATGTCTGGGGACTTCTCATTGATTCTTTCTTGCCATTCCTCATGTTTATTCGTTAATCCATCTGCATTTGTGTACCAAACCTTCAACTTCTGTTCTAATACTGTAACTGTGGTGCGGGGGGTGGGAACAGAGGGATCGGTGTGTGATGGTTGGTTTGGATTGTTCAGTTGCCTTGGGGGTGTCGTGGCTGGGGTCCTTCTTCATGTGTTTCTGGGGGGGGGGGTGTGCTTGTCCTTCCACTTGTTCCTGGGTTATTCTGCTCTCCTGTGTGTGTGTGTGTGTGTGTGTGTGTGTGTGGTGTGTGTGTGTGTTGTGGTGTGTGTGTGTGTGTGTGTGTGTGTGTGTGTGTGTGTGTGTGTGTGTGTGTGTATGCGTGTGTGTGTGTGTGTGTGTATGTGTGTGTGTGTTTGTGTGTTTGTGTGTGTGTGTGTTTGTGTGTGTGTGTGTTTGTGTGTGGTACTTCAGGCTTCACATGCAGTCTCTTTCCTTGCAGGTCTAGTCACCAAACACTGATATTTATATATCACTTAACCATTCAACATGTCGCTTCCCATATAACTTAATGCTGCCATCACCAGCATATTACTCTTTATCCTTCCAGACACACATTTACAAGCTAATTGACGAAGCCGGTCACCTTACACATAGGAAGTTGGCATCAAAATGGGTACCTGGGTGCTAGTCGACTGGTGTGGGTCGCATCCTGGGACAAAACTGACCTAATTTGCCGAAATGCTCTGCATAACAATCGGCTTTCTATATAGCAGTATGTCATTGATGTCAGCTAGTCCTGTATACCTTGTACATGTACTTGTAGCAAATAAAGATATTATTATTATATAATCCATCCCACACCTGGTGGCCTGGTGGTTAACGCTCTCGCTTCACACGGTGAGGGTCTGGGTTCGATTCCCAGCCAGAGTAGAAACAATGGACGTGTTTCTTTGCACCTGTTGTCTATGTTCCCCATCAGCAAAATGGGTACCTGGGTGTTAGTCGACTGGTGTGTGTCGCATCCTGGGACACTGACCTAAGGAGGCCTGGTCACAGACCGGGCCGCGGGGGCGTTGACCCCCGGAACTCTCTCCAGATAAACTCCAGATAAACACCAGGGATGGAATGGCCATCCACTAGTACAACACCGACCCTCCATCGGGAGC